GCACATAGGGTCTCCTGAGCAGCACCTCCAGTACATGGGTCTCCTGAGCAGCATCTCCAGCACATAGGGTCTCCTGAGCAGCACCTCCAGTACATAGGGTCTCCTGAGCAGGGTGTTCTATAGAAGCTGAGGCTCAAGAGACTAGGCCAGCATTCTGTATACGTGGTCAAGAAATTATTCTACAAAGAGGTAAGGCATTAACCAGCATAAAATGACCTTGCAAGAGTAACCAAAGAGCCAAGTGAATGACCACTGTAGTATGTCATTGGAGATGGTGATATATGCAGGATAGACATGAAGCCAGGGTTTCAGAGTCTCAGAAAGAGGCAGAAACTTGTCCATCTAAGGGGACTGTAGGACTTTTAACATCCAAAATGAAAAGGATGTGGTCCAGACTGACGGAGCAGAAAACTAATGTTGGTTCCATGGAAGTACCAAGATGTCCTTGACACTGACACCAGATGTCAGCCATAACTCCCAGAGCCAGTGTTGACTGAGGGTCTGGTCTGTGACAGGCACTCCTCTGCATACTCAACAAGTTGGAAGCAAGGTAACAAAATGTCTGCTCTCGAGTTGACTTAGTGAAGAAGAGACAGTCAACAAATAAGCATGTGTATGCTTATTGTGATATCTTAGGGGCACAAATTACGCTTTTTGCTGCTGTCACCAAATATTAATACCTGATTAAATGGAGGATTATTTTGACTCCTGCTTTAGGGAGGGTTCCTTTCAACCCTGGTGCTCGAAACTCCCACCAGAGTGGCCCACGGAGCTCCACTTACAGCACTTGGCAGCGTCTTTAGCCCACAGCTCCAAACTCTTCCATATCTGTTCCACAAACCAGTTGCAAAGATCTACAAATGGGGCTGGAAAGATGGCTCAGCCATTAAGAGCACTGGCTACTCTTCCAGAGGACCAGGGTTCAATTCCCAGCACCCACACAGCAGCTCACTACTGTCTGCAACTCCAGTTCCAGGGGACCTGACATCCCCATACCAATGCACATAAAATGAAATTAAATAAAAATGAAAACAAAAAAGATCTGCCAAGGATGTGGTCAGATTTCTCACAGCAACATCATTCTCAGTACCGACTTTGTGTATTAGTTTTCTTCTTTGGTGTAACAATCAAATTACCTGACAAAAGCCACTCAGGGAAATAGGGTTCATTTTGACTTATCACTTAAGAGGAGATACAGTCCCTTGTGATTGGAAAGCATGATGGCAGGGGTGTGATAGGACCATCTATACACAGTGTAAGGAGAGAAACTGTTGGTTCTCAGCTCGCTTTCTCTGTTTTGCTTCAGTCTGGGACCCCATCTCATATGGTGATGCTGCCCACATTCAGGTGGGTCCTCCCTCATCACTCAGCCTTTCTGGGAACCCTGCCTCAGATATACCCAACAGTATGTCCCTTAGGTGATTCCAAATCCATCCAAACTGACAGCAAAGGTTAACAGTCACAGAAGCACAGAGACTGGTTTTTAAAGCAGGCTAGAGAGCACCGAGACAGTAGGTGCTCAGAGTGGGCTTCCCGATCTGAGATGCTTCTGTGTCGATCCATGGGAAGTGAGGGCACGAACCACGCATGTGTCTGAGAGGGGAGGGTTTCAGAAGAAAGGACCAGTACCAGAAAGGTCATGAAGGGAGGAGCCGGAACCCGGAGAGCAGCAGGCAGGATTGGTCTGAGTGTGAGGCCAGGAGGCAACAACCTTTATTAAACTCCTGCTATATGAATGGGTAAAGCCTCTCATTTTTTGAGAATTTAGTATAAAATACAGTATTACCAACTTTTAAAAGTACCTGCAGTTTTATCGTTGCCCTATCTAGCTTCTATGTTACTCTTTTTTCCATATTTGTGCATATTTTATTTATTTCAGAAAAATAGATTTTCACACTACTTGTTTTACTTAGTTTCACATTACACACATTTTTCATGTCGACACCATTACACACATTTTTCATGTCAACATAGGTTTTATAGATAGGCCTAATATCTGTACATCTCTGTCAAGTTCTTCTTGGATATCCCAACAGTTTCCAAAGAGTCACTATTACTAATGATGCTCAAACATCTTTCTAGGTTTGGATTACCTGAGGGACCTTTCGTAACTATTTACCCATAGGTAGTGATTATATAAAGACATGGGGATTTTATGATGGCAGCTATATGTTGTAAATTGTGAGACTATTTACCTGTTAATGGTATCTGTCACTTTTTCAGAGTAGATGCCTTCTGGTACCGGCTCGTACACTGCCTCCACTATCTGCAAGGCAAACAGAAAATAGCAACAGCATCAAACAACCATGCTATCTGTGAGCAGTCATTCATGGCTACAATGGGGATTGCTAATAAATTCATATAACATCACACACAAAAGTTAATCAGGAATGGAAACATCCCAACAAATGAAAATTAATTCCAATAGCCAATTAGACAGTTCTAGAATACAGAATCTTATTCTCCAAGCTGAGCTAAAGTTAACCTTAGGCTCATGATAAAGTAATCCATGGGATAATATAATATGAATGAAGCTCAATGATAGAGCATTTGCCTAGCATGTGTTAGGCCTTGGGTTCCATCTCCAAACCACAAAGAAACAGTATTTGAAAATTTATTTTCATGACTTTATATGACAAATGAATACAACAAATAGGAATATACATGCACTGTGATAGATATTTAGAGGAGAGATAAGATAGACTGGGTTGTGTAGGAAATCAAACAACACATGCTTCTAACTGATGGCTGTGTAAGTCACAAGGGTTTTGTGAAGAACAGGGTGTGCCTGGTAGCTATAGGAGGCCCTTTTGTTCCCTGTGGCTTACTTTAGTAGCCAAGGAGAGCATGTTGGTACTACAGAAGGGAGGACTCAGAGTCGCCATCTGATAAAGAATGCAGCCTGCAGCCCAGACATCAGCCTTCTCTCCATACGGCTCACTCTTCAGGACCTCTGGGCTGAAATACATAAAGGATGTTAATGCACACTCAGGAAGGGAAATTAATTGGCACTGGAAGAAATCCAATTTTCACATTTGAGGTGTTGATATAAAAAAACGAGTAAATGGACATTAAAATGACTCTTAATGACTTTGCCCTATACCCATACTTCTCTCAACCCTTCTCAGAGAAGCATCTCCTTGAAGTAGACAGCAATTAACACAAAGACCCTCAACTAGTCAATTTACAGATAATAAGAGACTGTGTGGTACTTGTCCCTAAATGGTAAATACATATTATACTCCTCCCCCCAAAGCACAGGGGGCTCTTCACAGAAGAGGGGACAGAAAGATTGTAAGAACCAGAGACAGTGTATCCACTGAGATAACAACACATAGTTTCAGATTCAACAGGGCAGATGTACTATGACATGCCAACTGTGACAGCATGAACAAGACCCATGCAAGCTACAGCCAGATAAAGTCCCGGTGTAGAAGGGGAAGGTAGACACAAAAGTCCCACCACTATCTGAGGAGGTACTGGCATTTGATAGATGCTGGGAGAGACAGCAGTTTTCTCTAACGATATCACATCTGTTAGGTCTATCCCACCCCACAGCAGGCCCCACTGCCAAGACTGGCTGGGAAACACAAACTGGACTGTATGAGGATAGAAAAATGAATAACAAAAGAAGAAATCTCAGGGTTGGATGTGAAGGGATGGGCAGTTGGAGAAGATGGTTATAGAAGAAGGTGGGGGAGGAGATTAATATGTTGAACAAAAGGTGATGCAGGAAAAGACTTACAAGGTACTTGCTCTCTCTTCCAGCTCTTAAAATCCCTGTAAACACAGCCATGCAGCCACCACTAGGCCTGCAGGCTGGATGATGAGTAGCTACCTCCACTGGCCCCACCCCACCCCAGCCAAGAGACTACAGTGCTTTAGTGAGCCTGGATAACACTGTGACCCACAGCCTCAGCTGGAACCAAACACACTTGCCAGTAAGAGTGCACTCGTGAAGCAACTCAACCGATTAAAGCCAATGAGATTAGAGGCAGTCTGCCCAAATTAGATTTCACTGAAGGTACCTCTCTTTGGCTTATATGAGTAAGGGGAAAAGAGGCTGTCTGCTGTGGATATCATTCTATATAAATAAAACACTGATGGCCAGTGACCAGGCAGGAAGTAGGTGGCCAGACAGGAAGTAGGTGGGACAAGGAGAGAGGAGAATTCTGGGAAGCGGAAGGCTGAGGAGGAGACACTGCAGCCACTGCCAGGACAAGCAGCATGTAGAGACTCTGGTAAGCCACCAGCCACGTGGCAAGGTATAGATTTATAGAAATGGGTTAATTTAAGATATAAGAACAGTTAGCAAGAAGCCTGCCACGGCCATACAGTTTATAAGTGATATAAGCGTCTGAGTGATTATTTTATAAGTGGATTGTGGGACTGCGGGGCTTGGGGAACCTGGAGAGAAGCCCTCCAGCAACAGCTGTCTGATAAAGCTTATCAAAAGAAGAAGAAAGGCAGGGTGTCGTGACTTAGACCTGCAACTCAAACACTCAGGAAACTGAAATGAGAAGATGATGATTTCAAGAACAGCCTTGGCTACATTGAGAGCTCTGGGCCAGCCTGGGCTACATAGTGAGACCCTGTTTCAACACAAAACAAAAATAAGAAGAGCCACGAGGAATGTGATGAAGCTTCAGCCATGTGAACACAGTGGGCAAAGGACCGAGACCTCTGACAAACCAGGCCGGCAGACAGGACAGTCAAATGGAGGAGACGGCAACTTCCAACTGCTAAGTCGTCCAGCAAACAAATGTGAGTTCTGTGAGAAAGGCTACTCATGCATTTTTATCTTCAAAAAGAAACCAGCCTTTGGGAAATGTGACTGAAGTCATACTTAATCCCTACTTGCTCATATGCCAGGTGGCAGATATGTGTGCGGTTATTGTTTAGACAATAACTATAAAACAATTCGATGCCTTGTGAACTGAATAACTATAAAACAATTCGATGTCTTGTGAACTGAATAACCTTCAACTTCCTCACATGAGATAAGCTCACCAACACTAGGAAATAAAAGAATTGAAGCTAGCTATGCTTTTGTAGAAGTTCACACACACACACACACACACACACACACACACACACACACACCCCTCATATACACACTTACTCCTAATTTAAGATGGATTTTTCTTTTCCAAGACAAAAGAAGTGAGTGTGCTGCTGTAATGGTACAACTTTATGAAAACATCTCTTACATTGAGTCTGAACTCCCCTGGCCCTCACAGCCAAGTTGATAATACCCCTGAGATCACTTAAGACTTGCTATCCCACTGTCCATCGGTCTGTTTGAAGCTGGCCTTTAAGAGAACTGGGTAAGAACTAACCTTTCTTCCCTCTAATCCCCCAGGCAATCAGCTTTTACAGCCTAAGCTAATGCAAACTTTAATCTCAAGTTCTACTTTCTTCCATGCTGCTGACTCTGAGTGATGTATGTGCATGTGTGTTACGGGAATAATTTGATGAAAGCTGTGAACAAGCTGGAAACACCCTGCAGATACAGCTTGTGTTGGCAACACTGACTGCTCCCAGGTCAGCTGGGGTCATTTGGAGCCAGTGACTTCATCTTTGTAAAACCTGGCTGAAGATTTTTGTAAAGTATCCCTCATTCCTTCCCAAGTGATGCTTTCTGTGCCATCCAATAAAAGGGAAAACAAAGCCCTTTGTTAGACACAGATAGAGGACACAGGGAGAGAAGCGGAAATTCTAATTTGGGCTCACTCTTGGTCAAACTAATCCAAGAGGAAGCCGGTGTTGTCGCTCCGTCAAGATTTAACCAATGAGGCCGGGCGGCGCTGGCGCACGCCTTTAATCCTAGCACTCAGGAGGCAGAGCCAGGTGGATCTCTGTGAGTTCGAGGTCAGCCTGGTCTACAGAGCGAGCTCCAGGACAGGAAGCAAAACTACACAGAGAAACCCTGTCTCGAAAAACCAAAAAGATTTAACCAATGCACAGAGCATATCTTATACAACATTTAACAAAAACAGATCTTTGGAAAACCTGAAAACATCTTCAATTAAGTGTGCAAAAACTGTCATCATTGTACTTTATACATAATAAAAATGTTCAATGAACTTGAAGGTAGAGTAGAGTTGGGTACATGTCGAGGAGCTACATGTATCCCTCTGAAATATTCTAGTAAACAAATAAGCATAACTCATGTCCAGCTGCCTTTGAAGGGAGGCTGGGATACCTTTCTCCTGAACCACAGACATACCATACACACACACATAACACACATAACACACTATACACACACTACGCAACACAAACACACCCCACAACACAATATACACACCCCTCACCCCACACCACACACACCACACTACACATTATATATATGTATATATATATACACACACACACACACCCCACACCATATACACACATACCCCACTTTGCACCACACCACACACACCACACTACACCACACTACAGCACACCACACCCCCACACTGCATATATATATATATATATATATATATATATATATATATACACATACATACATACATACACACACATATATATGTATACACACACCCACATCCCACACTACACTACACCACACCATACCATATACACACACACCTCACTCTGCACCACACCACACACACCATACCACACACCACATTACACCAGACACACCACACCATACATGTAGTGGGTAGCTGTTCCAGCTTTGATCTGGAAGTTCCAACCCCCACTGAGGCTTCGGTAACTGTCACGCCTACAAGGTGGGACTGAGAGAGGACCCTGAAGACCTGAGATCCGGATGTGCCAGCTCTCTTAGTTCCTGGACCCTGGATGCTGGAGGTAGACCGAGGAGAGTTCTCTAGAGAACACCGCTGGATTGCGACACACCTTTCCCAGACCCTGCAACTCACCTATCCCTTCCCATGTAAGTTACCACAAAATAAACCTCCCTTTTTACTACAGAGTGGCCTTAATATTTCAACCAATACATACATACATATCCCACCCTGCATCATACCACACACACCACACCACATACGCACCCACACCCACACACTCCCTCCCATACTACACCACATATACCAAACCACATACACTACACTACACACACACACACATACATACACACATACCACCACACACATATACACACACATACAAATCCACTCATACCCACACCCAAACACCCCACCCCACCCCACCACACATACACCACACACACATACTACACCACACATACATCACACCACACACACATCACACCACACACATCACACCACACACACATCACGCCACACACACATCACACCACACACATCACACCACACACACACCACACCACACACATCACACCACACACACACCACACATACACATCACACCACACACACATGCATCACACCACACACACACATCACACACACACATCACACACATCACACCACACACACACATCACACCACATATACACCACACACATCACATCACACACACACCACACACACATCACACCACACACACACACGCATCACACCACACACACACACGCATCACACACACACACGCATCACACACACACACGCATCACACACACATCACACACACACACACACACATCACACCACACACACACATATCACACCACACACACACACATCACACACACACACACACACACACACACACACACACACACACACCACATCTACCTTTGAAGGGTGATTTCACCAAGAGTAAAGGCAAAGGGAAAGAAAATGAGAAGGATCTAACTGAGAAATAAAGACAAATTGTTTCCATTTTAATTTTTCACGAGTGTTCCCTTGCTGATATACAAACAATTAAGCTGCTAATTGCAAGTAATTCTTATTTACTCACTAAACGAGGAAAATAAATGGGGACCTCAGTGAATTTCAAAGCATACTAGACCTGAACATTATGATAGTTTTAAAATAATTTACTTTCTTCCCAAT